CGATGGGCTTAGTAAATCGTTCGAAATAGGGCACCCTTGACGGACACCGCTCCTGTTTTCGAACGATTTACTAAGCCCATCGTAGACTCGTACGCTACCAGAAGTATGCAGATACAACGACCGCAATAGGTTTACATACTTCCGCGGCATTCCTTTGCGGAGCAGATGCAAGAGTACCACTGTTCACGTCTCTCAGTTGTGTTTCTAACCTCTAGTTTCGATGATCCCGAGGTCTCCATCCAGGAAGCGTAACATATGTAGAGTCTCCTGAAGTTAATCTGACAACCCTTAACTTTTTTCCGTAGAGTACTCACCTTGGCAAACATCGTACGCCGCGGTCACCTATTCGGTGACATGTGCAACAGATGCCCCAACCAGCGCAGTTTATCACAGTCGATCAATTGCCCCAGTGGGCGATCGCGATTATCTTAAACTCTGCATGTAATCTCAGCATTGTTTGTCCGACAGATTTACTGTCATCCGGTTCAATACCACACCTAACTTAGTGGTGCCTTATGTGGTTTGCCACTTCAAGTCCCGGGTTTATGTTACTGGTTTTCATTACTGAACAGCAAGTCTTCGCGACCATGGGGTCCACTTCGTCTGATGTTCATCACGGAAATGTGTGATAAAAAAATGACTCGTGCAATGTGGCGTAGACAGCAGAATTCGAACATGGAAAATTTATCTACAATCTGTTAATGTAATAGTCCATTTTCGGCACCATAAAGCAGCAGTGGCTGAACGACTGCAAGATACACTCAACCATTCACAGCCAGACGGAGATCTTGAGGGTGCTGCAGGTGTATCAAGTTCATTATCATTATCGAGATACGGTGAAGCGAACTTTACTGATCGTTCGCAACGTAACCTGAATAAGTGAGAATAAACCAGAAGGACAGAGAGATATCACGTTGGCAAGTACCAATCTCTCTGCATACCGACACTTCATCCGCAATCCGTTGTCTAGGTGAGATATAGCCGCCCGCATAACTGGAAAACCCCAGTCATAAATCATCATTTTGCATACTGAAGACGCATGCCAAACATGGCACACAAGCCATCTGGAAAGGCATATAGTTTATTCGGATCTTTACTCAACAGTACAATGACGTCTGCATACACCAGAACAGACAGTAAGCGACCGCATAAAAGTCACCGAAAACGGAAGCCCACAATACAATATCAGCTATCGTTGCAAATGGGCCTTTAAAGCGGAACTATCTGATCACCGTTTACCCCAACCATCATCCGAAGGATTCAGTGAACACTGGATGGTAATCAAAGAATCGATCCAAATGTCAATAGAAATAATGACGGATTCTGGTGCACGATCAAAGAAAAGAAGATATATCTCCTCGACTTCGGTTGCCCTGCTGGAGGCTCGTAAAACGATTACTTCTTATGCCAAATACGACAATAAGTGTGAATCCCTTAAACATCAGCTCATCAATAGTCTGAGGAATCACAGCAGGAAGCGTAGAAAAATAGAAGTCTGCGGCTACGGGTAATGGTAGCAATCTTTTCCGTTGGATTAGGAGTGCAGGCGAAAGTGAGGTAATAAATAAGTCTGACGGTATACTGATTGATTTTCAGCAACGCCATCTTGAACATTGCGCTGGAGTCTGCAAAAGACATTGTGCTACTAAGGGAAGATCCGACTATGTTGCAAGAATTTCTGGAGTGTCTGGGTGCTAGTGTTCAGTATGTGTTTTGCACCTTCAAAGTGTAAAATGTTGCTACAAGATGGGATTGGCCCAGTCACAAACCTCACCCTGACTGGGGAAGTAGTAGAAGCCAACAAATTTTGCTATTTGAGCAGCCATATCTCGCCTGGTGGGCGCGTCACTGATGAAGTGTCGGCACACACACCCAAGGCTCGATTAACAATTCCCAATTTGAGACATCTGTGGCACCGTTGCGACATCCGCCCTCAGGCGAAGGGTCGAGTGTGTGCTGCAGCAGGTAGACCACTGCTACCATATCGTGCGGATTTTATATTTTAAAATAAGGCGGTGCCTGGTCGAAGATAGTCGTTTGTTGCAGATTACAGTTAGAATACCAATAATTTGGCATACATATAATAATTATCTCATTTGCAATATGTCATTACAATTCCCGGCAGCACATAGGTTGATGAATGTAGCAGTTAATCTTTGTGCGTCGTATGTCTCAACAGTTCAGCACAGGTTACCAGTTAGAGAATGAAGCGTCGATGCTTCTTCCACTTACCGGTGTATGCACCGAGCGATTGCAATATACCGGAAATCAACGATGAATTCTACAAGGATCTTTCTCAATTACTCCAAAGTGCTCGATCAACAAACGTCGTAGTACTCGCCGGAGACTTCAATGCTCA